GAAAATTCTGTTGACCACGCTACTTTCTTTGATGCAGTAAGAAAAGTATTAAATAAATCTTCTCCTTCTTCTGTTCCTGCTGCTCAATCAACAACTCCTGTTAATGTCCCTAAAGCTGAAAATCAATTTACTTTACAAGGAAATAACTCTTCAACTGGTCTTTCTACTTCAACTCAACCAGTTACTTCAACAATTCCACCAATGGCAGATGCTGTAAATATTCCAAATTCACTTCAACCAAAATGTGATGGAAGAAAAAATATCAATAAAATTAAAGCTAAAATATCTTGGTTACAAGTTGAAGGAGAAAATGTTGTTGAATTTTGGAAATATTGGATGGATTCTACTCCTCAATCAGATGCCCTTGAAGTTGGTCAATCAATTCAATTTATGCTTGTTGTATCAGGAAATACTGAAAAATTAAGTTGGAGAGTATTTGGACCTCAAGGTGCTTTAATTCAAAATATGGTAGATTTCTTTTGGAATGTTGGTGCACCTGATGAAGAAATTGATCATTTAAATAATTTAGGATGTCAAATTAATCCATCTGAAATTGGTTCTTGGATTGATATGAGTGTAATGAATGGTATGGATGGAGGATGGTTCTTTAAAGGTGATTTAGTTTGTGATGTGATTAGAGACACTGCTGATAAATGTGAATATGCTGAACGACTTATTACATGGGCTAAAGAACATGGATTAAATTATCTTTGTCAAATGGGAAGAGATATGGGAGCAACACCACCTAGACAATCAGAATTTAGATTTAAGTTAGATGGTGTTATTTCATCAAGAATGGATAAAGTACACTCTGCATTTACAACATTCGGATTTCCACCAATACCTGTTAACATTGTTGAAATATTAACCAATTTACCTCCAGTTTATACCTATTTCTATTTATGTGTCATAGTTAGTTCAGAAGGATTTGTTAAGTTTGTTATTATTCATTTCTTATTATACAAAATATATTAATCATTATTAGAATAAGTATATTAGTTCCAGCACCAAAACAAGATGTTGTTGATGCATTCTTATTTGCAATGAGTGATGTTAAGGATACTCATATTGCACTTCATAAAGACATTACAAATACTTTAGGAAATACACCATTATTCGTAGAATATTGTTATCTCAATCCTGGTTATGGGTATGAAGTATACAAAGAAGGGGCAGATGTACTCGTACATTATAATCTCGGTTCAGAATCACGATAATCATTATTTCTCTCATTTCCTTATTTTTTATTTTTCAATGATATAATTTATAGTAAATTAAACTATATAAAATAGTTAATAAAATGAAAATTCAAATACTATTCATTATCTGGATCAATAAAAGGTTCTGCATACAAGTCGTCTTCTTTCTGTTTATTTCTTAACTGATTTAATTCACCAATTACCTCAATGAGATAGAAGACAAAAAATAATAATTGAAAAAGAAGATTAGAGAAGGTAGATTTTAATAATTTTTCATAACCAACACCTGTTAAACTATAACAAGTTTCTTGAGAGTCTATTGATGAACCACACCCATATAACTTTAAAGTTTTCCATCCACAACAATTATTCTAATTTTAATGAATATTTAAATAAAAGAATTAAAAAAAAAGGAAGAAAAGATAAAGAACAAACTTCATATTCAATGGTTATCATATTATCACTTCCCATTGTATCTAAATAATCAAATCTGATTGATGTTATTCCATAGAAACTTGTTATAATGAATAATAAGAAAGTTGATATTATAACACCGACTAACAATAATATAAGAAAGTATTTACCTCTTACACTAAATGCAATAATACCAAATAGTCCAATGAAAATTTCACAAATCCCTACAATAACATTTGTTAATAAAAACATATATTTTGATGGTAATTTTTTTGAAGGTTGTTGTGTTGTTCCATTTGAATAAATTGTTGTTCCTATAAAAATAGAGTATAATGCCATAAAAATTATTAGTAAAGAAAAATAAACACGAGGAGTAATTCGTTGATGTTCTCCCATAATATTATAATAAACTAAAAATTAAGAATCTTAAAAACTTTTTTAACAAAAAAAAAATAATAATAATAAAAATTTATGTTATTAAAAAATGTTATTAAAAAACTAAAAAAGAAAAACAGAAAAAATCAAAGAAAAAATGAAGTATAGTGAATTGATAAATAAAATATGTTGGGGATTAAAACTATATTTTGCGTATGGATTTTTAATGTCAATTTTCATACAAATTACAATATTATTAATTATTAATGTTATTATTTTACCAACATATATTTTATATCGCCCAATATATCAATGGATATTTCAAAGAGTAACAGAAGTATATATGATGTATTTTCCATTAGTATTTTATTATATTAATGGTAATAGAATTTATATTTCTGGTGATAAATTCATTGAAAATGTTAATGCTATTTGGATTAGTAATCATAGTCATTGGGTTGATTTTATTCCAGTTTGTTTAGTTGCTCCAAAGTGTGGTAGAATTGGTGCAATGAGATATTTTATGAAAGATGATATAAAAAAGATTCCTTTCATTGGGTTTGGCTTTTATATGATGGATAGTATTTATCTTAAAAGAAACTTCCAATTAGATCAACATCACATTAATGAAACATTTAAACGTTTTAGAAATAAGTATTATCCTTTCTGGCTTATTATCTTCCCAGAAGGTACTCGTGCAAAACCTGAAAAAGTTGTTGAAGCACAAAAATATTGTTTAGAACATAAATTACCTATTTATAATAATGTATTAAACCCAAGACATACAGGACTTTTTGTTGCATTAAAACAATTAAGAAATGTTGTCCCTTATGTTTATGACATTACTTTAGGTTATCCAAATACTGTGAGTTTAGCTTCTTGTTTCTGTCCTGGTGAAGGTGTTAATATTCATATGTATGTAAATCGTATTGACGTTAAAGAAATTCCTGAAGATGAGACTGAATTTAAACAATGGTTATGTACTATTTGGAAACATAAAGATGAATTAGTAGGTTATTATAAAGAAAATGGTCATTTTCCTGGAATTGAAGAATTGTATCCATTAAAATTTACATGGGCAGACTTTACTGGTTATATGAGTCAAGAATGTTTTTCATTACCTTAACGCAAACGAAGATTTAATTTATCGTTATACTAAGATTTTATTCATTTTTTTTTTTTTAGAAATACTGAAAAACTCATTTTATTTATATCTAAAGAAGAATAAAAAAAGAAAAAATCTTAAAAAAAGAGAAATTTCAGAGAAATGTCAACTAATCATGTCGTCAAAAAAACTGGTTGGCTTGTTAAAGAAGGAGGAAAATGGAAGAGTTGGAAAAGAAGATTTTTTGTATTTGAACAAACAACATTATCGTATTACAAAGACCAATTAGTTTGTTTTTTTTTCATTTCTTTATATGAAATATTCATTTAAAAAAGTCGAACAAGTATTTAGAAATAGTTATTTTCTAAAATGGGTGAAATTCCTCTTGAATTAGCCACATGTATTGAACCAGTAAGAAGATATAAAAAACATGACTATGTTTTTAAAATTGTTACTCCATCCAGAACATATTATATTAATTGTGCTGATGAAAAAGATATGAACGATTGGATTAGTTGTTTAAAAGAGATATCTGATAGGATTAATGTATCATTGGATGTTTGTTATTTAATAATAACAAGAAAATTGATGAGATTATTTATGATATAGAAGTCTGAAGATAAATATGTCAGTTCAGAAGATTTTGATATCATCTCACTTATTGGAAAAGGAGCATTTGGTAAAGTTTATTTAGTTAAAAACAAAGAAACACAAACACTATTTGCAATGAAAGTTATTCAAAAGAAACAAGTCATAGAACGTGATGAAGTACAACATTCCTTAGAAGAAAAAAATATTTTAGCAAAAATAAAACACCCATTTTTAGTAAATTTGTATTGTTCATTTCAAACATCTGTCAACCTTCACTATGTAATTGATTATTGCCCTGGTGGTGAGTTGTATTCTTTAATGAAAAAAGAACAAACTATGAATGAAAAAAGAACAAAGTTTTATGCTGCTCAATTAGTACTTGCTTTAGAACATTTGCATAATCAAGGTATTATCTATAGAGATGTTAAACCTGAAAATATTTTAATTTGTGCTGATGGATATATCCGTTTAACAGATTTTGGATTGAGTAAAATGGGTATTTCTGATAATTCAAAAACAGCAACATTTTGTGGTACTCCAGAATATCTTGCCCCTGAGGTTATACAAAATGTTGCATATACTAATGCTATTGATTGGTGGGGATTAGGTGTTTTAATTTATGAAATGTTATATGGAACAGTACCATTTTATGATGAAAACATTCAACGATTATATCATAACATCTTATATAACCAAGTTACGTTCTTAGAACATACTGAAATTTCATTGGAATGTCGTGATATAATTTCTCAATTATTAAAGAAAAATCCTATTGAACGTCTTCATGAAACAGATGCAATTAAATCCCATCCTTGGTTTCACGACCTTCATTGGGATAATTTATTTGCTAAAAAAGTACTTCCAGATTATCTTCCTCAATTATCTTCACCTACAGATTTACGTTATTTCTATAAAGAAATAACTGAACAATCACTTTCCTTAGGAGGTGAGGTTGTCTCAAACGAATTATTTACTGACTTTACTTACTCTACAACGCAAAATCAACTTTAATTTATTTCATTCATAAAAACGTTATATATTACATTAAAAAAAAAAAACAAAGAAAATTCCAGATTGAAAGAAGATTTTATTAGAAGTGAAAAGAAGATGTAAAAGAACTAATAAAATAAGTATAAACAACGATGTTTGTATTAGCATTAATTAGTTTAGTTAGTGCAAGCACTTATTACTCTGTACTTCATAAGTCTGAGGGAATATATAAAGTAGTTCCTGGTAGATTTGCAGATGCTTGTGCTGTTGGATATTATGATGATACTATTCAAACAACAGGATGGGGACAATTATATATAAGAAGTAATTTCAAATTAGCAGAGACTGAACAATCTTATTGTTCAGGATATTTAGAAGCATATTTAACACACCACTATATGTATTTGTATTGGACTAATTACAAAGCAAATGAATATGAAAATGGTCAACCATCTAATACATTAATAAATAAAATGCAAGAACAACTTGATTTCTTTAAGACAGAATCATCAACTAATACTAATGAATATTGGAGAAGACAAAAAGTTATTAAATACCAATTTAATGGATTAGTAGATGGATATATGGCAGCATCTCCTGCAGAAGAAGAACTTCCAGAAATTGAACTTTATATGTTACTTTCAGTTGGAGATTTAGAAAATTTAAATGAGATTTATAAAACAGGAAAAGAACCAGAAACATCAATTGTTTATATGAGAAAAGCATTTCCTGATAGAATTTATCATGAGTGTAGTGCATTAGTTCGTGCAGTAGGAGATGAAGTTTATTTTGCACATGGAACCTGGAGAGGGTATTATGCAATGTTAAGAATTTATAAAGTTTATGATTTGTTTTATGGAGGAAGAAGACTTAAAATGAGTTTCTCATCATCACCAGGACTTATTCATTCAAAAGATGATTATTATACTGTTAGTGCAGAAGATACACAATTATTTGTATCAGAAACAACAAATTCTGTTTATAATTCTAGTGTTTATGAAGATATTAATGATAAATTACTCTCATGGCAACGTATTTTATCTGGTCTTTATTATGAAAAAACAGCAAAAGAATTTGTTGAATTAATTAAGGATTATAATTCAGGTACTTACAATAATCAATGGATTGTTTTTGATGTAAACTCATGGAAAAAAAATAAAGCTGAATCATTATTCATTTGTGAACAAATGCCTGGATTAATGAAGTCTCACGATGTTACTGAATATTTAACTTCAGAAGAAAAACAAAATATGTGGCCTTCATATAATGTTCCATTTGATAAAGAGATTTATTCTAAATCAGGGTATCCAACTGATCATGATGAATACACTTCTTGTAGTCGTGCTAAAATTTTTAATAGAGACGTTAAAAATGTTCAAACTATAGAAGATATGAAACATATTATGTTATATAATGATTATCAAAATGATGAATTTTCTAAAAATGATCCAAAAGAATCTATTGCCTCTCGTTATGATCTTCGTGTTGATAGACCAAATGCTTTTGGAGCTATTGATGCTAAAATAGTTTCTACTTCAAACCCACATCTCACTTATGCCATTTCAGGACCAACTCATCAAGGACAACCAGTTTTTGAATGGACTCAACAATTTAAAAATGTTCATGTTGGAGTACCAGAAAAATTTGATTTTGATTGGGTGGAAATTAATGACAAGCAATAATCACAATTTTTTTATTTATATTTTTAATTTTTTAATTTTATAACTTATTATTTATATTGCTTCTTGTCATGACAAAGTTACCCCATTTCAAGTTGATCATCTTCTTCTATTTTGCATGGTCCTATGCGTTTACTCAAAATTTCAAATTTATTTCGACAAAACAAGCTGATCAATGTGATGGAATTGAATGTAACACATATGACAAGTTTTCATTTAAAAGTAATTATTTAGACTGTTCAAATGATTCAGGGACAACACTCTTTGATGACTTGACATTTGACTTAACTCTCCCTCCAAGAGCATTTATTACATCACAAGAACTTTTGATGAATGTTTCAACATATTATGATGTATATAGTCCACCAACTAAATTTGCATTATTAATTAATAATAATCCAACTCAATTCACTATATCAGCAGAAACATGGAATGATGAATGTGAGTCGTGTGTGATTAAAAAGGCATTTGTTCTTTCACCATTTGGAAGAACTTTTATCAATGGAACTAACTCAATGAAACTAATTGGATATTCCAATATTGTTTGTGTAAGTGAAATAGAAATTAACATATCATATCGTATTCTTTATCCTGTAATTACTCGTATAATTCCTAGTTTAGGTCCTATTGAAGGAGGAACAAATGTTTCAGTTATA